CGCAGCGAGGGGCTGCGGCCCGGCTGCCCCCGGCTCTGGGGGGATTTCTCCAGCCTCGAGGATTTTTTGGAGCCTCCTTCCACCTTCCCGGCTCGGCCCGAGGAGCGGCCGCGAGAGGCGCGGGGCGGAGCGGGGCAGAGCCGGGCGCTGCGGGGCTGCTGGGCGCACCGCCAGGAGGAGGATGAAGATGAGGATGAGGAAGACGAGGAAAGCTTCATCCCCTCCGCCGAGTCGCGCTCCGTGTCCCCCTTGGCCGAGGAGGGCGGGGAGCGGCGGATCCGCTCGCCCGGTGGCCACCGGGGGCTGCCCAAGCCCGGAGCCGCCGTGGCCGCTCCGGCTCTCCCGGGATCCGCTCCGCGCTTCCCCAGCCCCGTGGTGGCTCCGTTCCCCGCTTCCTTCGGGAATTCCCTCCCGGCCTTTCCCAGGCGCTAGCTGCCACCACCGGGGGACACGAGGGGACACGGAGGGGACACGGAGGGGACAGTCGGGGACAGTCGGGACCGGGCTGTTTTTATGTTTTTATTCCCAATTCACAGCTCTTTGTACCCGGTTCTTTGTATTTCCTTATCTCTCCGCGCACAAACGGAAAAAAACGGGATGAAAACGGGTAAAAATGGGATAAAAAAAGGGATAAAAACGGGATGGAAACGGATAAAAACGGGATTAAAAAAATGGGATGAAAAACGGGATTTAAAAAACGGGATAAAAATGGGATAAAAAAGGGATAAAAATGGGATAAAGCGGGATAAAAAATGGGATAAAAATGGGATAAAAAAGGGATAAAAACGGGATAAAAATGGGATAAAAACGGGATAAAAATGGGATAAAAACGTGATAAAAAATGGGATAAAAAAGGGATAAAAACGGGATAAAAATGGGATAAAAAACGGGATAAAAACGGGATAAAAAATGGGATAAAAACAGGATAAAAACGGGATAAAAATGGGATAAAAATGGGATAAAAAAGGGATAAAAATGGCATAAAAAAGGGCTAAAAGCGGTGCTGGAAGTTTCTGTTCCTGCCCCCCGTGTGGGGTTTGGGTGTCCTGGAGGTTGGAAAAAGGAGAAAAAAAAGGTTTGGGGTGTCCTCGATTTTTTTTTGGGGTCAGGGCGGGGGTTTGGGGGGGTCCCGACCCTAAAAAAAAGGGGGGGAAGGGATGGGAAGGGGTTTGGGAATGAAGGGATTTTTTAGGAATTTAGGAAGGAATTTAAGAAGGAATTCAGGAATTCAGGAATTTAGGAAGGAATTTAGGATTTTAGGGATTTTTAGGAATTTAGGAAGGAATTTAGGATTTTAGGAAGGAATTTAGGAAGGAATTTTGAATTTTTTAGGAATTTAGGAAGGAATTTAAGAAGAAATTCAGGAATTTAGGAAGGAATTTAGGAAGGAATTTTGGATTTTTTAGGAATTTAGGGAGGAATTTAGGAAGGAATTCAGGAATTTAGGATTTTTTAGGAATTTAGGAAGGAATTTAGGATTTTTTTAGGAATTTAGGAAGGAATTTAAGAAGAAACTCAGGAATTTAGGAAGGAATTTAGGAAGGAATTCAGGATTTTAGGATATTTTAGGAATTTAGGAAGGAATTTAGGAAGGAAGGAAGGAATTTAGGAATTTTGGATTTTTTAGGAATTTAGGAAGGACTTTAGGAAGGAATTTAGGATTTTAGGAAGGAATTTAGGAAGGAATTTTTTAGGAATTTAGGAAGGAATTTAAGAAGGAATTCAGGAATTTAGGAAGGAATTTTGGATTTTAGGGATTTTTAGGATTTTAGGAAAGAATTTAGGAAGGAATTTAGGAAGGAATTTTGGATTTTTTAGGAATTTAGGGAGGAATTTAGGAAGGAATTCAGGAATTTAGGAAAGAATTTAGGGAGGAATTTTGGATTTTAGGAAGGAATTTAGGAAGGAATTTTGAATTTTTTAGGAATTTAAGAAGGAATTTAAGAAGAAACTCAGGAATTTAGGAAGGAATTTAGGAAGGAATTTAGGAAGGAATTCAGGAATTTAGGATTTTTTAGGAATTTAAGAAGGAATTTAAGAAGAAACTCAGGAATTTAGGAAGGATTTTAGGAAGGAATTCAGGAATTTAGGATTTTTTAGGAATTTAGGAATCAATCAATCAATCAACCAAGGAATCTTCCCCCAGGGAATGTTTGGATTTTGGGGGGGGTCTGATGATCCCAGCCAGAACCAAGGAATCTTCCCCCAGGGAATGTTTGGATTTTGGGGGGGGTCTGATGATCCCAGCCAGGAAATTCCAGGATTTTTCTGATCCTTTTCAAAATTCAAACTCCCCCAAATCCGCCCTCAACAAAATCCAAAATCACGACAAGAATTTCAAAAATTTTTATATAAAAAAATGAAGTTTTTATTAAACAGCGACAAATCCAGAAAAATTCCCGCCCTTTTCCCACCCCCAGGAATTCTGGGGGGGTCCCAGCGTTGTCCCCAAGGTGTCCCCGAGGGTCCCCGGGCTGGGCTGGGGGTCCTGGAGGTGCCTGGAGGGACATGGAGCCACCCCTGGGCTCCTGGTGGCCACCCTGGGCTCCTGGTGGTCACCCTGGGCTTGTGGTGGTCACTGTGGAGAAGGGACAGGGGTCAGAGGGTCCTGGTGGCCACCCCAGGTGTCCCCTGGTGCCACCCTGGGCTCGTGGTGGTCACTGTGGAGAGGGGACAGGGGTGGACAGGGGTCAGAGGGTCCTGGTGACCACCCCAGGTGTCCCCTGGTGTGGTTTTTTGGGAATTTCAGTGTCCCAAAGTGTCCCAAGGTGTCCCCAAAATGTCCCAAAATGTCCCAAGGTGTCCCAAAGTGTCCTAAACTGTCCCCAGAGTGTCCCCAAAGTGTCCCCAGGTGTCCCCAGGTGTCCCCAAGCCCCCCCAGGTGTCCCCAGGTGTGTCCCCAGGTGTGTCCCCAGGTGTCCCCAAGCCCCTCAGGTGTGTCCCCTCCTCACCTGGGGGCCCTGTTGCTGCTCCTCCAGCGGTGGCTGCAGCTGGCTCAGGCTGCCCACGCGGCCGGGCTGGCCCCGCAGCGTCACCGTGATGGTGGTGGGGGCCTTCAGCCCTGCAGGACAGCCCCAAACAACAGCCTGAGACACCCCCAGACAACAGCCTGAAACACCCTGAAACAACAGCCTGAGACACCCTGAGACAACAGCCTGAGACACCCTGAAACAACACCCTGAAACAACACCCTGAAAACAACACACTGAGACACCCTGAGACAACACCCTGAAACACCCTGAGACAACAGCCTGAGACACCCTGAGACAACACCCTGAAACAACACCCTGAAAACAACACCCTGAGACACCCTGCGAGGTGGGGGTGACACCCAGGCAGGAAACAACAGCCCAGGAGGAACATTGTGGACCCTCCCAGGGTTCTGAGGTGGAATCAACACCCCTGAAAACAACACCCCGAGACACCCTGCGAGGTGGGGGTGACACCCAGGCAGGAAACAACAGCCCAGGAGGAGCTCTGGGAACACTCCCAGGGTTCTGAGGTGGAATCAACAGCCCAGGAGGAGCTTTGGGGATGGTCCCAAGTTCTGAGGTGGGATCAACACCCCAGGGAGCAGGAGGAGCCCTGGGGACGCCCCCAGCCCCAGTTCTGAGGTGGGATCAACACCCCAGGGAACAGGAGCAGCCCCGGGGACGCCCCCAGCCCCCGTCCCTGCCCACCTGAGCTCTGGCTGGAGATGTGGGCCAGCCCCGGGAGGCTGCTGGCCAGTTTGGCCAGTCCCCCGTTGCTCAGCAGCTGCTGGATGGCCGTGGGCTTGCTGGAGGCTGCCAGGGCCAGCGAGGTGGGCACGGGGATGGTGCTGATGGTGGCCAGGCTCTGCAGGGCCCCCGGCGCCTTCAGAGCCGAGCTCTGGGGGTCACAGCGCGGCTCTGAGC